TCTGATATGTTCGTCAGTCTTCGTGGCGCTCTAGCCTATGCGTTGATCACGCAGGTATGGCTGATGGTCTATGTTGTCTCACTACAACGTATCCAGGAACCGACAAACATCCAGGTACGACGACTAAACGCGGTTACCAGGAAACTACAGGCAGGTCCGAAGAAGATCGTGTATCAAGCTATGACCCCAACAGGAGAAGTCGACCTGCATAGCGATTCTGGCTATCGTCGTCTCAACGGAGATGAAGACGACGAAGTCAAAGGCTATGGTATCCGCGGGGCTAACCTGCTGAGGCGTGGCCACACGCAAGCGGGGAAACCCGTCGTGCACCTGGTGGACGCATACTGCAAGTCTCATCGACTGCAGGTGCGTTCGAGCTACTCTGCGGAAACACTGGCAGCAGCCCACAACTTGGAAGACTGCTACCCGACCATTGTAACGCTCCACGAGCTACACTCGGGACCATTGACCCCCACACAGTTAAAGAACATATTGGAAATGGGTGGTCTATGTATCAAAGTCACTCTGACTATTGATGCCGAGTCTGTCTTCAAGTCTTTGTCTAGCAAAGATCTGAAGAAGCCCACAGAATGTACTCTGCTTGGGCACATTAGCTGGATCCGCCAGATGATGGAGCGCGGAATCGTTGAAAGCGTTCAATGGTGTGACACGCGGGATATGACTGCCGATGGTCATACCAAAGGTAGTATTGACCGCGCGTTGCTCCTACAAGTAATGGCCGGCCAGCAATCCTTCAAGCACGAGCTGAAGAAACATACTCCGTATAGGGCGGGCAGGTCGTCTCAGGACGGCCCTGCCTCCCGAGCTAGCGGGGAAACCCGCATGCAGGTGCGCTCTAGTAGCGAGGAAACTCGCCGGTAGCGAGGCTACTCGCGCGCCCTTGCCTTGTAGGCAGCCGCTGCTGCTTAGCACTGTTTTTCCGCGTAATGTAGAAGTGCGGTGCCTGCTCGTCTCCTCCCCCTCCGACTTTAAACGGAGAAGGTTAAAGGCGAGGTATAAATCGAGCATGTACCGCTGCCGTGCCTGGCTCAAGCCGGGCCCGGCCAAATATATGACTGTGCCTCACCGAGGCGCACGACTGGTATCTGAGATCGGAAAATACCTTTTCCATTGAAGATGCCCCTTCTATCCTTTACTCCAGATCCCATGCTTCGTCTCGCTCTCTTGCTCATGCGATATGAGCCAAAGCCTGGGATATGGCAACGCTTGAAGCGTAACACATACCTAAGCTTACCAGCATGTTTTCGACTCCCTCTTGGGACGCCCCTTGGGCGCCTCTTGGGGGCCTCTTGGGGGCCTCTTGGGCCGTCTTGGGCGGTCTTGGGCTCTCTTGGAGCGCTCTTGGGCCGTCTTGGCGGGGAACCCGAAAAACATGTTTAGAGGCACCGGTCACTGTCTCGCTCCAAGCGGGGGGCGGCGGAAGGTGGCGCCAGCCTAAACTGAACTCTCTATTTTCTGCCTGAACCGTGGACATGATGCCGCCGAGAGCGGCGGCAGAAGGTGACGGCGGGGTCTGCACCACAAAAAAATACAGTTATTTGAGGCAGACCCCGTATCAGGTCCCCACAGAGCTGTGACGAGGTAAGTGAACGGGAAGCGAAAGAGGGAAGGGAGGGAGGGAGAACTTGAGCGGAGAACACAAACATAACGTGTTATGTCAGAACGGCGCCACCTGACTTTGCGCCGCCCCCGCCCTCCCCGCCCACCGACCACTTAACAGACGGGGGAGGGGGGAGGAGGAGAGAGGACCACGGCCCGAAAACTTCATTGTTTGCAACAACACACATTTAGAGGCACGGGTCACTGTCTCTCTCCAAGCGGGGGGCGGCGGAAGGTGGCGCCAGCCTAAACTGAACTCTCTATTTTCTGCCTGAACCGTGGACATGATGCCGCCGAGAGCGGCGGCAGAAGGTGACGGCGGGGTCTGCACCACAACAAAATACAGAGATTTGAAGCAGACCCCGTATCAGGTCCCCACAGAGCTGTGACGAGGTAAGTGAACGGGAAGCGAAAGAGGGAAGGGAGGGAGGGAGAACTTGAGCGGAGAACACAAACATAACGTGTTATGTCAGAACGGCGCCACCTGACTTTGCGCCGCCCCCGCCCTCCCCGCCCACCGACCACTTAACAGACGGGGGAGGGGGGAGGAGGAGAGAGGACCACGGCCCGAAAACTTCATTGTTTGCAACAACACACATTTAGAGGCACGGGTCACTGTCTCTCTCCAAGCGGGGGGCGGCGGAAGGTGGCGCCAGCCTAAACTGAACTCTCTATTTTCTGCCTGAACCGTGGACATGATGCCGCCGAGAGCGGCGGCAGAAGGTGACGGCGGGGTCTGCACCACAAAAAATTACAGAGATTTGAAGCAGACCCCGTATCAGGCCCCCACAGAGCTGTGACGAGGTAAGTGAACGGGGAGCGAAAGAGGGAAGGGAGGGAGGGAGAACTTGAGCGGAGAACACAAACATAACGTGTTATGTCAGAACGGCGCCACCTGACTTTGCGCCGCCCCCGCCCTCCCCGCCCACCGACCACTTAACAGACGGGGGAGGGGGGAGGAGGAGAGAGGACCACGGCCCGAAAACTTCATTGTTTGCAACAACACACATTTAGAGGCACGGGTCACTGTCTCTCTCCAAGCGGGGGGCGGCGGAAGGTGGCGCCAGCCTAAACTGAACTCTCTATTTTCTGCCTGAACCGTGGACATGATGCCGCCGAGAGCGGCGGCAGAAGGTGGCGGCGGGGTCTGCACCACAAAAAATTACAGAGATTTGAAGCAGACCCCGTATCAGGCCCCCACAGAGCTGTGACGAGGTAAGTGAACGGGGAGCGAAAGAGGGAAGGGAGGGAGGGAGAACTTGAGCGGAGAACACAAACATAACGTGTTATGTCAGAACGGCGCCACCTGACTTTGCGCCGCCCCCGCCCTCCCCGCCCACCGACCACTTAACAGACGGGGGAGGGGGGGGAGGAGAGAGGACCACGGCCCGAAAACTTCATTGTTTGCAACAACACACATTTAGAGGCACGGGTCACTGTCTCTCTCCAAGCGGGGGGCGGCGGAAGGTGGCGCCAGCCTAAACTGAACTCTCTATTTTCTGCCTGAACCGTGGACATGATGCCGCCGAGAGCGGCGGCAGAAGGTGACGGCGGGGTCTGCACCACAAAAAAATACAGAGATTTGAAGCAGACCCCGTATCAGGTCCCACACCACCGCATAGCTTGCATTAGCGCCTGGCTGTGGCGGCGCCTGGGCTGGGTGGGAGGGTTCGGGCGCCTCCCACAGCCGTCACACATTCACAGCCTCGGCAGGGCTCCAAAAAACTCCGTAGATCATTCACAACACGACATGGATCACTCACGAGCCTTTTCAGGGCGACCACTCTTCTTGTGAACCAGTCGGCTCCCGCGCTCAAGGATGTCTGGCGGGAGCGCGGCGCGGGCGGCCACCAGGGCGTGCGTCTTCATATACCTGAGCACGCTCTTCTCTGAAGCCCACCGCCCGCGCCGCTGGATGGCCCACACCGTCCTGTAGCCCGTCGCCGCGTCGTGGCTCGGCCCCGAGTGCCTGGCAGCATGGGGCGGGAAGTGCTCGACACCGACGTCGTCGCAGGCTCGCCTCAGCGCCCGGCGGTAGGCATCCACCGAGCAGCTGAAGACCCGGTCCGAGGGGTCTCGCTCGGACTTCCTACGCACGAGCATGTCACTCACATGCCGACGGTCGATCAGCACGCCCTGCCTCACGCCCGTCTTGGTCCTCTCACCACGCTCGGTCACCCCGAGTCGTAGAGCAACAATCTGCTCGCCCGCCTCGTCCACGTCGACCACGATGTCGGCCGCCCGCAGGGCGAACAGCTCCGCGGACCTGAGGTAGGCGTCCAGGGCGACCTCGGCGGCGTCAGCGGCCTCCACGCTCCCGGCCAACCTCATGGCCTCGTCCAGCACGGCCCAGAGCTCGAGGGGCTGGGGTCCCCCTTCTCCCGCAACGTGAAGTCGATGCCAAGCTCGAAGAGCTCGGTTGGACCTCGGCAACCCCGTCGAGAGCTCGGGCCACACGTAGGCAAGCCCATGCACAACGAAATCTCCTCGATGCGGACCCACCTCCTCATCCTCGACCAGGCGGTCCAAGTAGCAAAGAACGGAGTCATCGATCTCCTCTCGGCTCATCATCGGCAGGTTCACCTCTAGCGCGAAGTTCAGGAAGCGGCGCACGTTGGGCACGTAGCAGCCCAGCGCCGTCTTGGTGGAGACCGAGAACGGCAGCAATGCCAGCCCATAGGTGGTTCTCTCCCGCCGTTGCACCCCCTGTGGGTGCGCGCCCTCCGCGTCGTTCCTGCGGTGGGTATTGCCCATCTTGCTGTGCTGAGCGTGGTGCCGTAGCCTCTCTTCACCGACGGCGTCCGATAGAAAGGGTAGCAGCAGCCAGCCCAGGAGCACAGACCACCGCGGGCAACAGGACCGGCAAGCGGTCCCGGTCGACGGCTGCTCATCATCCACGTCGGGCTCCCCGAGACGTGGCGATCGTCGATGGTCAGGCGCCTGGTCACCAAGTCGAACCCGAAACATCGCACGAAGATCTTCCAGCTCCGTCCAGTGTTCCTGTTGTAGCCGCTGTCTCTCCGTCGGAGTCGCTTCTCGAAAGCTCGCGACCAAGCGATCCCTTTGATCTTGCGTCGCCCTCCAGGTGCTGCTGCAAAGATCTCTGATGATGTCGGTGATCGTGTGGCGAGGTAGCCCGCGGACGAGTAGGCGCCTCAGAGCCTGATTGGGGCCGCTCAGCAGTACATCCGTCAGGAAGGCCACGCACCACTCCTGCCACTCGGTACCATCGGTGGCCCGCTGCGTGAGGTCGCTGAACCACTGCTGCGCCCAATCCTGTAGATCTTGCATCATGTCGACATAATCTTGTACCGCTTGCGCTCGAACATCGTCGGGCATGGGCGGGGGCCGGCCCATCGCACATGGACTTCCGCCCCCAGTCAACCCGAGGCTCGAAGGAAAGCTGCAGGTAATGACTCCAGCAACGTAGCGTCCCGGCGCCTGCGCTCCAGGGTCTCTGAGATCAATTGCTCCACGGCCCTCTCGGTCAGGTCGGCCTCCCGTCTCTCCTGCATGGTCAGCATCGCGTCCACGTGGCACTCTGCCAACATCCTGCAGAAGTCGGAAGGGTACGCCTGGGCCACCCTCGTCCGAAAGCGACCGCTCTCGTCCTTGCCACAGAGGCTCGCCGAGTGGTTCTCGTGCACGCAGGGACGAACAAACCGCTGCATCCCGAAGGCCGTCCCCGTGAGCGTCGTCAGCTTCAGCGCGGGGCAGCCCCGCATGCACTGCGGGAAGGTCACTCGGTAGGCACCCAACTGGGCCTCCCAGTCCACCAGCTCCTTGGTCACGAAGATCGATGGAAACGGCGGACAACCCGGATCGGCAGGATGCTCGATGGAGACCGAGCCGCCCTTGAGCCCGATCGCTTTCAGGATCCTCAAGCTGCTCAGCAACTGCGCATTCCCAAGCTTCACCTTCTTCGCGTCGTCCCCTCGCAGACCCGGCCGACCCCACAGCTGATCTCGCAGACGTAGCGTAGGGGGGCCTCCAGGCTGGAAGCGAACCCGCGACCAAGTAGAGCATGAAGGGCCTGAGTGTCCTCCGTCCGTCTCCACTTCTGCCAGCAGCTCCAGCCTCCGCACGTTGACCTCGTCCGTCAGGTCGAACTCCGCCCCGAAGCCGATGTCCACGTTGGTGCAGATCATCAGGTAGCCTCGCGAGCCCGCGATCCTGAGCAGCCAGTCCTCCAGGTCCCCGATGCGCGTGTGGCCACTGCAGAGGTGAACGAAGCGCAGCACCTTCACCGGGATCGAGACGCCCATCCTGAGCGGCTGGAAGGGGTCCACCTCCGCCAAGTCCGCCAGGGCCTCGATGCTCGAAGCCACCTCCTCCGGCAACACCAGCTCGTCTCTCCTCCGCTCCTTCGGGGCCTGCCCAATCGGAAAACCTCGGCTCGGCCCGTCGCTGTGGTTGCGGTCCGACGGCACCCAGCGCCAGTACTCCCGCATGCCGCACCCAAGGTCGAGGGCGGCCATTCTCCTGCACAAGATTAGAATGGGCCGGCTGGCCGATCTGCCCTTGCTGAAGCCGCCGAGGCAGACCATCGAGTCCGTGATGCGTAAGTGTCTCTTCCCCCAGCTCGCCCGGGTGCGGGCCGAGTGCCTCGCCGCGGCCACCCCCGTGCGCATCTCCAGCAAGTTGATGTGTTCCTTCTCCTCCCAGCGCCAGCGCACAACCTCCTTCCACCGAGCGATGTCGTCCCAACACTCGTGCACAGGCGGAACGCGGATCCGGGTGCCCAACTCCACGTCGGTGCCCACGCGTCTGAAGGCCTCCCCCTCGCACCAGGCGTCCGCAGCCCAGGACGAGGAAATGCCCGTCCAGACGGTCCAGCCTCCTCGAACTGCATATCGTGCTTCTCGACGCTGCTCCTCCACCGTTGCCACCGTAGAGATGAGCGCACCACCGTAGAGACTCGCATCGAACATCATCACCATCGGGTCTCAGGGCGTCGAGAGGTCCACCGAGATCAGCGGCACCAAGGCCGCAGCCGCAGCCAACTCTCTCAGCACTTCCCGTGGGACCTCGCGCCGAGCTCCACCTCGGAACTCCATGCACCATGCGTACACGTCCGCGAAGACGCTCAAAGCACCACGGCAGATCAGGAAGCCCCAGGACAGGATACCAACGATCCGCGCGATGGTGTCGGGTAGTTCCCACTTGTGGATCAGGATCTCCCGTATGCCGAAGACCGCCAACCACATCTTGTCCTGGTTCGGCGCCAGACGAGTTCCCCGAAGAGCGCCACCGATCATACGAGCGTCCGCCGCGCAAGCATCCTTGTGCACCTTGAAACCCGCGGACACCACCAACTCCTTGGCACCGAGACAGATCTCCTCCACCGTCGTCGCCGCCTCCTGGCCAGGCCGTGTCGGGAAGTCCAGGCCCAGGATGCCGAAATCGTCGATGTACTCGTAGTGCGCAGCCGGCAGATCCCGACTGAGATGGGGTAACGGCCCGCCTTCGGCCAAACGTTGGTCGCCTGAAAGCGAAGAAAGCCCGAACTGAGGCCCAGTATTGAAGATGTCCTCCATGGTCGTCTGAGCTATCCAGCACGCCCAGGAGAAGCCCATCAACGCAACCTTTACCCCGACGTAGGGCCCACTCCCAGGCAGAGACGAACCTTCGGGAAGCAGCGAGTCCAGCGCATCCCCAGACACGCCGGGCAGCACGAAGTACGGCGACAGCTCCTCCCCCAGCTCCAGCGTGTAGTAGAAGTCGGGGAGGTCGCCCGTCCCGAAGCACATGGTCACGCCATCCTCCTTCATCTCCTCGGACACGTCCAGAAACGACATCGCACTGACGCCGCCCATGGCACACCACGGGGGAGACCGCCATCGCATGTTGGAGCGCCTCTGGTCGAACACCAGCCTCAGGGTCACCTCGGGCTCGCTCCCCACCAGCTCCGCCTTCTTCACGACGCAAAAGAGACCGACCTCGTCCACCTTCGCTGCAGTGCGGCACAACATCCCCGCCAAAGCCATCCGTCGGGCCAGCTGTAACATTTCCTTCTTCTTGCGGAAATGCGGGTCCACGTAGTTGCGTATCTCGCAGGCCTGAACACAAGCCTCGCCATCCTCTCTCAACATCTCCTCCTTGAACATCTCCAATTTCTGTGCCACGCGAGGCGACACAGACCTCACACTCACAGGTCTGGTCCCCGGAGGAGGTAGAGCGACTCGGTCCCATTGAGCTGGAAACGTCTCGCCCCTGTCCGGCAGCCGTCCACTTCCGCCAGCACTCCTCCTCCGAAGTTCGGCCACCCTCTGTTTGAAGGTGGACTGGGACTGATGGCCCGCCGCCGAGGCAGCAGGACGCAGCCGCAAGAGCGCGGCTCCTTGTGAGGGCGTAGTCGACGGCGGCGACTGGCGACGAACTTCTCCCAGCACCCGCCGAGAAAGGTCCCCGTCCAGGTTGTCGGGCACGATCCCCTGGCCCCAGCAGTCGGCCAGGCCCAGTAGACTGTCGCCCAGACTCCCGCGGTAGAGCTGACGCAAAGCCAAGAGAGAACGATTCGCCGTATCCACCAGCTCCATCTCCTCCTTCCAGCGCGACAGCACCCGACGAGAAGTCGAAGCGGGGCGCTCCAGGCGAGCGAACAGCACCACCTCGGACAGGATGTCCCGCCGCCGCGACATGAAAACCCAAATTCGTCGTGCAAAAGCTCACGGGCCAGCCGACGGCGATGATGCGAGTCAGCTGCAGCAGAAAGAAGACACTAGCCAAAACTAGCCGACGCGCAGGGACACCACGACGCCAGCTGCAAGGGCCCCCCGGCTCGGCACCGAGTAGCCCCAATTGAAGCTCCTTGACTCTCACGGCGGGGCCACCGCACCCCCGTCCAGGTCGGAGCGCGCCTTCATCAGCTGCGCGTCGCGACCCATGGCCTTCTTCATTTCTTCCTCGGCGCTCATTACCCGAATAGTGCTCTCGTCGGCGAGCTGGGGGTCCAAGCGACGCGCCGCCTCCCAGTCCACCTTCGACTTCCAGTTCTTGGCATCCTTGGGGCGGCTCCAATCGTCGCGGCTGTTCACGTTGCGGTAAGCCCTCACAATGGCGTAGCCCTTTCGCACCAACCGCTCGAAGCTCACCAGGTTGATGAGTCCCCTCCTCGGGCTCGATCTCCTTGTACTCGTCCAGCTGCTCCATGAACACCTGCTGCGGCAACTGAGCCTTGAAGCGCATCCGCTTGATGGCCAGCTCGACGGCCTCCGGCTGCGAAGAGGCAACTCGCTTCTCGGGCGTCTCCATCACCACTGTGGGGGTACTCTTCGCGGGCGACTCGAGCACGGCGACTGCAGAAGCCGAAGCACTCGCCCCCTCGATAGCAGCACCACGCTCGCCAGCTCCAGCCTCCGCAGGCGCCTCGCCCTTCAGACGAGCCTCGAACTGGTCCAGCCGCGCAATCATGCCCTCGATCACCTGCTTGTTGGCCTCGGCGTCCGCACGACCACGCGAGTCCAGAGAAGCTTCGAGTACATCTCGACGTAACTCCCTCGTCCTCTCGGCGGTCCTGATCTCGCTGATTTCCTCCATCATGGCCGTCTGGGACTCCACGAGATCGTTCAGCTGGCTTGCCAGCGTTGCACTCTCTCCGCTTGACAGGTAGCCAAGCGGCGGCACGGGCGGAGGCACCGAAGCAGCCGCACCGACGGGCACATCCACACTCGAAGCACTGGATGACCCAATAGAGGACTCTCCATACTCCATGCTGTCCGACCACTCGTGAGCCGCCCAGAGGGTCAGAAGGATCAGGGACAAGAACATCGCAAACCAACGCTGAAGAGGCATCAGCTTCTGGGCCCACTCCTTCCACTCCCACAGATAGGTGGCCCACTCCTGGACGACCTCCGAGCTCTCCACGAAAGCATCCTTGGCCGTGACCAGGTAGCTGATCGTGTACACCCAAACCTCCTTCATATACTCGATCACGCCCAGCAACACCAGCAGCTCGTACAATACGAACAACGCGGCCAGCACACCCAGGAAACGCTTGGGACTCCTCAAAGACCACCTCAGCGTCTTGAGTGACGAAGCCCCCGAGCTGAAAACGGCGTACAGGACGTTCACCGCGATCGCCTGCTGACACCCTTGCCGGGGCGATAAAGAGGCAACATCGGCACCGTCGACGCCCTCAGTCCCTCCGTCGCCTGGCTGACGTAGGCGTCCCTCTGGGCTGCAGAAAGAGGTGGCATCGGCCGCCACCGAATCCCCGCCACTGGGTCCGTGAACATGGACGTCTTCGCCGTGATACAGATCAGGCCTAGCGTCAAGTCCGGACCGATGACGGCCCACACGTTGCCACTCTTGCGGCGCACCAACTGCACCTCCACACCGTCGGTCGCATTCTGGCGGTAGAAGCGCCGCGACCATGGCTCCACTGGCATCTGTAGCTCGAGACCCTCGACCTCGTCAGCTGAGTCCTGCTCCACGATAGGATCACTCACCAAGGAGAAGAGCGACCACACCAGGAGACCGAACGGCCAGCACCCGAAGCGAGCCGTCTCGTCGGCGCTCTGCAGCGCACTCACCGGCAGGTCCGGCACCTGCCCCTCGTCGTAGCCCTCCAGCTCGACCAGCTCCCACGAGGAGCAGCCCGAACTGTCGGAATCGCCCGCACTGCTGCCGCGCGGTGAGCAGAGGAAGAAGTACTCGGGCGACGCCGCAGAAACCTCTGCAGGCATGCTCGAGCCAAAGAACTTGAGCGGAGAACACAAACACAACGTGTTATGTCAGAACGGCGCCACCTGACTTTGCGCCGCCCCCGCCCTCCCCGCCCACCGACCACTTAACAGACGGGGGAGGGGGGAGGAGGAGAGAGGACCACGGCCCGAAAACTTCATTGTTTGCAACAACACACACACAATTACGCTACCGAGGAACCCCACATACCTATTTTATTTCCCATGTATACCATCGGTGCTTCTGCTGCTGCTCTTCCTTCTCCTCCTCGGTGTCCTCCTGCTGCTGCTTCTGCTGCTGCTGCTGCTTCTGCTGCCGCTGCTGCGTCTGCTGCATCAGCTGCTGCTGCTGCCGCTGCTGCTGCCCCACCTCCCCGTCCTCCTCCTCCTCCTCCTCCTCCTCCTCCTCCTCCTCCTCCTCCTCCTCCTCCTCCTCCTCTATCTCCTCCTCCGACCTCCCAGCGCACCCCCTGTGGCGTCGAGGAAATGCCACGCCTGCCACGCCCTGCGCACCCCTGTGGCGTCCAGAAATGCCACGCCTGCCACGCCCTGGGAGCCTGCAACGCATAGGGCCCCCACCCCCAGCGCACCCCCTGTGGCGTCGAGGAAATGCCACGCCTGCCACGCCCTGGGAGCCTGCAACGCATAGGGCCCCCACCCCCAGCGCACCCCCTGTGGCGTCGAGGAAATGCCACGCCTGCCACGCCCTGGGAGCCTGCAGCGCATAGGGCCCCCACCCCCAGCGCACCCCCTGTGGCGTCGAGGAAATGCCACGCCTGCCACGCCCTGGGAGCCTGCAACGCATAGGGCCCACCCCCAGCGCACCCCCTGTGGCGGCGAGGAATGCCACGCCTGCCACGCCCTGGGAGCCTGCAGCGCATAGGGCCCCCACCCCCAGCGCACCCCCTGCGGCGTCGAGGAAATGCCACGCCTGCCACGCCCTGGGAACCTGCAGCGCATAGGGCCCCCACCCCCAGCGCACCCCCTGTGGCGGCGAGGAAATGCCACGCCTGCCACGCCCTGGGAGCCTGCAGCGCACAGAGCCCCCACCCCCAGCGCACCCCCTCTGGTGTCGAGGAAGTGCCACGCCTGCAATGCCTGGACGACCGTCGTGCATAGCGTCCATATCGGGACGTGTGTCATGTGGGTGCCCACTATGTGGCGCACATGTCGTGGATGTGTGATGCAGTGAACACGCCAGGCGCGCACTAGCGTTGTATGGTGTGTGTGTGTGTTGTGTGCGAATGTGTGCATGCGTGCGGCTGTATGTAGACGCCTGTGTCATGTACTTGCCGTGCATGTGTTGAGCGCGGGTGAGGAGAGGAAGAAGAGGGAGGAGGGGAGGTGTGAGGAGACGCGGGTGCGCCGCGGCAGGGAAGAAAACCATAACCCCACGAAACATGTGGGAAACACCCGAGGGGAAACCCGAAAACGGCCATTAACACGCAGTTGTGCACGCTACCCCCCTCGCCTGGAACCCCTCCCTTTAGGGCTTCGCCCACACCAGAACGTCATCACTCGTACCTCGCTCGTTCCGTTACCTGGGCCGGCACGGAAACAGGACGAGCGTATCAACAGCTTGACCGAAATTACTAACACCACCGTTCGTATTGGGAGCCTTGGCGTTGAGAGCTTGTTACGTCACCCCGCGCTCTTGGGAGCCTTGGTGTTCAGAGTTTGTTGCGTTGCCGCCCGTTCCTGAGCCTTGGCTGGGCCTTGGTGTCAAGAATTCGTTACGTCATCACTCCCTGCTGGGAGCCTTGGTCTTATCAGCTTGTTTACGTCACCGTACGCTCTTGGGAGCCTTGGTGTGAAGAGCATTTTGCGTTACCGATCGCTCTTTATTTGGCTTCCCTGAGCCTTCTTGGGAGTCCTATTGGGGCCCTTTTTGAGCCCCCTTGGGGGCCTCTTGGGGGCCTCTTGGGGCTTCTTCTGTGGGGGCCTCCCAGGAGCGTCTTGGGGCGAAAGGCTAGACTTTCGGGTTCGTGGTCCCCCTTCTGGGGCCGTCTTGGGGCCCTCTTGGGCCGTCTTGGGTGCCTGTTGGGCCGTCTTGGCGCCCTCTTGGGCCGTTTTGGGGATCTCTCGGAGTCCCCTGGGCCAGCCTGGGGGCCCTCTCGGGACCTCTTGGGGCCTCTCAGGGCATCGCTTGGGCAGCCGTGGGAAGTGTTTTTGGGAAGCCCTCTCAAAAAACACTTGCTGGACAGCATTCCTGAGCTCTCTTGTGGCTCTCTTGGGCCGTCTTGGGGCTCTCTTGGGCTGTTCGGGGCCCTCTTGGTCCGTCTTGGGGCACTCTTGGGCCGTTTTCGCTCGCTTCTGGGGGCCTCTTGGGCCGTCTTTGGGCGATCTTTGGAGCCTCCTGGGTCGTTTTCGGCAGTTCATGGCCCGACAAAGCGAAATCCGAAAAACCTTCAAACACCATTAACAAATAATTCATTTTTGCCTCCTCGGGGCCTCATGGGGAGCCTCTTGGAGGCCACTTGGGGCGTCTTCGGGGGCTCTTGGACCGTCTTGGGGCCATCTTAGGGCGTCTTGGAGGCCTCTTGGACCATCTCGGACACAACTTTGGCCGTTTCGGAGTGCTCTGGGACCGTCTTGGAGCCGTCTCGCACCCCTCTTGGGCTGTCTTGGGCGACTCTTCGGCCGTCTTGGGCGCCTCTGGGGCCGTCGTGGGGAGGCGGGCGGCCATTAGCAACCATTCCCGCATGCTTCCCCCCTCCCCTGGACCCCCTCCCTTTAGGGCTTCGCCCCACCTGAACGTCATCACTCGTGCCTCGCTCTTTCCGTTACCTGGGCCGGCACGGAAACGGAAAGAGCGTTTCATCAACTTGACCGAAATTACTCACACCACCGTTCGTACTGGGAGCCTTGGCGTTGAGAGCTTGTAGCGTCACCCCGCGCTCTTGGGAGCCTTGGTGTTCAGAGATTGTTGCGTTGCCGCCCGTTCCTGAGCCTTGGCTGGGCCTTGGTGTCAGGAACTTGTTACGTCATCGCTCTCTGCTGGGAGCCTTGGTCTCATCAGCTTGTTTACGTCACCGTACGCTCTTGGGAGCCTTGGTGTGAAGAGCATGTTGCGTGTTACCGATCGCTCTTTATTTAATCGCTTCGCTCATTCCGCCGGCCCATACAGTCTCATGTCTGCCGTTTGCCCGAGGGCCTGGTGTCAATGCGGCGCTTTGGGGGTTCTTTTGCCAGGCGTCTCGGGTTGGAGGCAGTGTTGAAGCCTCTTGAGGCCCCGTAAGGGCCGTTTGGGGGTCGTTGGGGCTTCTTGTTGGGCTTCTTGGGTGGTTATTGGGGCGTCTTGGGGGACTTATTGGAGGGATGTTGGTGGCTTCTGAGGTGCTCCTAGGGGCAGAATCCCCCTTTGGGCGCCTCTTGGGCGGTCTTGGTGCTCTCTTGTGCCGTCTTGGGGTTATCTTGGGCCGTCTTGGGCCGATTTTAGCGGATTGTTGGGCTGTCTCGGGGCGATGTTGGGGGCTATTTGCGTAGTCTGAGGCGCTGTGAAACTCGAGACGCCGTTCATGCGGGAAGTGTACATGTTCCTCTGGGAATGGGACGATTTTTGATTGTAATGGCCGTCTTGGAGGGCCTCTTGAGGCTCTCTTGGGGCTTCTTGGCGGCCTCGACGGCAATTTTGAGGTCATCTTGGGCGATTTGGAACGATTGTTCGGCGACTTGAGGCCGCTTGGATTGTTTCGGGGGCGTTCCGGTGCCGTTTTGGCGCGCTCCTGGAGCGTTCTGGGGGCATGAGCCGAACGTCGCGCTCTGGGCGGCGTGCGGAAGCCATTGTGTGAGAGGGCGCGGTGGTGAGAAGAACAGCTCACCCCACCCGGCTTTCCGGGCTTTCCGGCGTAAGGAGGGCTTCTTCGCGGCACTTGTGAACGCTCCTGGACAGTGCTTTTTGGGCAGGTTCTTGACGCTTGTTGCAAGTCTGTAGGGGCCCCGTTGGGAGTCTACCGAAAGGAGAGCACATTGTAGCATCGCTTGCACTTGCTTGCGTGCTCGGGGGGGCATTTGGGGGGCCTCCTGGGGCCGCTTGGGGGACTCTTGGGGGCCTCCTGATGGCCTCGTGGGGGCCTCTTGGGGCCTCTTAGGGGCTTCTTGGGGCCTCGTGGGGGCTTCTTAGGGCCGAGGGCTCGAAATGTTGTTTCGTGTTCCCTCTCTGGGGCCCCTTTGGGGGCGTTCTTGGGGCCCTTTTGGACCGTCTTGGAGGCTTCTTGGGCCATCTTCGAGCCCTCTTGGGCCATCTTGGGGCCCTCTTGGGGGCCTCTTGGGCCCTCTTGTGGCGATCTTGGGGGCCTCTTGGGCCGTCTTGGGGCGTCGGGAAGCCGAAAAGGTGGAAGCTCCAAAATCTTTCAAAAACCTAAGGAAAAGCAAAGAATTTTGCCTCCTGGGGCCCTCTTGGGAGTGCTCTTGGAGGCCTCTTGGGGCGTCTGGGGGCTATCTTGGGCGTCTTGGAGCGATCTTGTGGCATGTCGGACCCCTCGTGTACCATCTTGGGGGCCTCTTGGGGGCCTCTTGGCCTTTCTTGGGGCTCTCGGGGACGTCTCGGAGCCCTGTTGGTGCGCTCATGGAGCGCTCTGGTGGAGTCGCCCGGGGATCAGCCGGGACCCGCCTGGGGTACTTTTCGTCCAGGGACCCCCAGGGGCCGCCCCGCGCGCGCGAACTAGAGAATTGTTAACCAGTTACCAGAGATCTTAGCACGCCTCTGGCCCGTTGGGCCGGCGAATTTTGCTTCTCTGAGCCTTCTTGGGGGTCCTATTGCGGCCCTTTTTGAGCCCCTTCTGGGGCCGTCTTGGGGCCCTCTTGGGCCGTCTTGGGCGCCTCTTGGGCCGTCTTGGCGCCCTCTTGGGCCGTTTTGGGGGCCTCCTGGGAGCCTCTGGGGCCGTCTTGGGGCGGTCTTGGGGGCCTCTTGGACTGTCTTCAGCGCCGTGGAAGCCGAAAAGCCGTGTATACTAAAAGTGTACGTTTTCCCATCGGAAATCAATGATTTTCGCCTCCTGGTG